TGGCAACTGCAGTCTTTTTATTGCAGTTTATTTATATTCAACTCAAGATCACTCAGAAGCCCAAGGTCGTACAGCGAGCTATGGAGAGGGCTATGCTCGGATTTTATCTACGTTATAGACTTAAATGAGGACGTCCACAGAGTAGAACCAGAGTAACCGACATAGCCCAATGGATTAGTAAGCTAAAGCAACAATGAGTCAGCCATATAGGCCTCGTAGGTGGGCGAAGTATAAGGCAGCAGCAGTCGATGGATGCAGGTGACTCAAGACCGTGCTTTGTGGCATACCTTGGGGGAGGCCTATGTTCAGCAGTGGACTTGTAAAGGGCTGTAATTATTGAATAATGGATGATAAAATAATATATTTAGTGACAGAAAAATTATATTAGTATTACTTACAAATAAAAAATATAATAAAGTATAATTCAGAGATTTAAAAATAAAAATAATTTAATTTAATAGAGAATGTATGGTTACAGCACACATTTTTATTTAGTAAATGTTGCAACATACTTTTAGCCGGGCGTCGCGTGTATTTAAATTTACTTATTTAATTGCAAACAGACAATCAGTAGTACGTCAACAAGCGTCCTTCTAAACACCAACTACTCAAGGAAAGATTTGCCACTCTAACTTTATAACTATTTTACTTTAATAAAACTACAACCAACTACAACCCTACTTTTAAAAAGTGTGTGGCCTTACAAACCATACAGACAATGACACCAATAGATCTATATGAAAGAAGCGAGTGACATGTGTCAAGATCGTGGCAGTCGGTAGTCTCCGTCTACCCTCAGCCTAGCCTCCGTCTAGCGACTGTCTTGAAACAGGAAACTGACTTAGAAGTTAATGCAAGTTTAAATCTACTTAGTAACATCTTAATGTAGAAAATTTTAGAAAAAGTTTAGCGATAAATTAAGTTATAATACGAACTTATTACTAGAGAGCAAAAGCACTTTTTTCGCCTAGAAGAAGAACTATTTACCTAATTCTGGCGCGTTAAATAACTTAAAAAACTTCGGTTTTAAAAGGTATAGAGAGTCAGCATAATTACAGGCTGAGCAGCAAATCATCATAGTCAAATCAAATCTGTTTATTTTGTGAACATAGGTTAAGGCCAAATACGATGCGATTGACCTTGCTCGTTTCGCAGCAAACCACGCGCCGTCTATCGATAATCACGTGTGTTACCCGTACGCTTTGTTTATATAGACATGTATAATATAATCAAAGCCGTACGGGCTTTGATTATATTATATTCGACTGAGCTAACTCAGTATGCAGAGTAATTAACAACACAGAGAGCATTGCTTACTCTTTAATTAAATCTTTCTTATTTATAATATTAGTTCCTATAGATTATAAATTCTGTACTTTATTCGTCATAAAATATTGTTCGAAAAGTTATTGAATTGATGTGGATTTTTTTTTCTTAATTGGTGCATCGTACGTAAATTACTTCACATAACTGAACATGTTTGTTCTTGTGAGTCTTACAAGATGCCGTAATGCAAATTGCATAAATAATAAAGAAAAAAAAACTAAAAAGTCGGTGATTGCCCCATAGTGGGGATAGGTACTGTGTATGTAAATAAAATGTGTAAAAAATAAACATTGACTATGACATTATTTGCGGTATCTGTGCTTGCACTACTCTGTACATTCTTTTCCGACTCGGTCGTGATATTTACATTTTTAGTGTTTCTCACTTGCCTAGAAAAGTATAATTGATCAGTTTGGCTTTTGTAAATGAGTAAAAATGCAGCCTATTAGGCAGCAGATATTGTTTTTAATTAAAACGAATTATGTTAATAAATAATATTTTGTATCGAAAATAAAGACGGCAGGCACCTTCGGAATCACGATACAAACATTTTTACGTAAAAAGATATTTTCCTAAATTAAAATTCACAGAGTTTTAGAAGAACAATCATTTTTAAATATAATTTCTTAACATTTTTTTATTTGTTGGTATATTCATTTATTTTAAAATTTTAAAACGGTGGGCACCTTGTGAAGGAACCGAACAAACCTACAAAAATGTTTTAATGCTTAGAATTACTTCAGGTCAAAGTTGTAGTGAAGAGAAATACATTAAATTTCGCCAGTTCTTTTCGTATTCGGCCTTAATAGGTAAAAAACAGATCTCGCGATACATAATAAAATATAAGGTAAGTTCTCTATGTCCCGCCAGTAGGTATACAATATATAAAATAATAAGTGCAACATTCAGTAATAACATAATTTTTTTCTCCTCTAATGTCAGTTTGTAATTGAAATTAAATAATATATTAATAATTAGGAAAATTTTAAAGATAATAAAGGTGTACTTACAATAATTGTCTTCATTTTGACTAATTGTGATGTAGTATTACTTGGCACATTTCATAGTAGGTATGTAGTAAAAACAGTTTAATAATATAATATAAAGTTTACGTTTATAAGGGTATGTTCCGAAATAGAACCCAGTACACTGGCCAATGCAAATGACGTCATAAATCGACGCCATACCGGTGATTCGTTGCATCGAATATGGCTGAATTTGATATCAATTAATGACGTCATTTGCATTCGCCAGTATACTGGAAACATTTCGAAACATACCCTAAATATTAATGTCTATGCATTCAGGTATTTTGTTATATACTTTTGGTGCCATTGCGTTTATACTCTTTTGTAAAAAAAAAAAACAGTTCTACTTAGTACTAAATGAAGCTTATCAGAGCGACGTTAACTTTTCACAAACTTCCAGTCACAAAGTCACAGTCCTCAAAGGTGACAACGCATCGATAACCTTTGAATCTTTGTAGGTACTAACCATCCAGGTGAACTGGACCATAGTTCGTTTATCATTCCCATGTTATAAAAAACCAACCTGTCCCAAGTAACCGCCGTAGTCCTCTTCAGTGGGCAGACCGTGCTTCATGATCCACTGGTAAGCCCTGAAGTCCTCGCCACCGTCGCAGCCATTGTTACCGAAGCTGATAGCGGAAATTTAACATAAAATGATTCATTTTATTAGTATGGTTATATTATCCGGATATTCAAATTATCCGGATATACGTCGAATATTATATCTGTATATCAGTAATTTTAGTATCCGGATAAAACGAACAATCCGGATATTTATTTTTTATTAAAGCACATTTTATATCTTTCTTCATTACCCCATATCATCCCATAGGTCAGGGATAGCGAAACAATGGCACACGTGCCATCGTTGGCACGCGACGCAATATTTTGGGCACGCCACCGATCACAAAGATCACTATGAAGTAATAATAATAATGTCTTCCAGACGGAATTTCGGCCACGGCGGCCTGCCTCAACGGAGGCTAACCATCGACGCAGGACAGGATTATAGTCCCAAGTGTATACGCAAGCACAGGTGCACTCTCTATTCCCTCACTCACATAATCCGATGGGACGGTAAACCGACACGACCGGATAGAGATCAGGCGCAGGACCAACGGCTTTACGTGCTTTCCGAGGCACGGGGGTGAGACATCGCGAACTTCCTGACTCCGGGCAGCTATTGAGAATTTCTTGACGGAAAAACTCAACAATTGATTTTTGGGACCGACCCGGGATTCGAACTCAGGACCTCATGACCAGTAGACACAACTGTATTTCGTAATTAATTTGTGTTATATTCAAATTTTACAACCCCAATATAAATTATTTGTCATCTAATTTGCAACAACAGAAGTTACACTAATGTTACTTTAATTTTAATTACGCGTATAACTAAAACATTTTTTAATATACAATTTATGTCTCAACTCAAAACTCTTTATAGTAAATAAAGAGTTTTGAGTCGATAATATTTATTACTATTATTTTCCCCATAATCACGAAGTCAAAATTATTTTAAGGCAAGTCTATTATTAGTAAGCTGAAGTGGCAATGGGCCGGCCATATAGCTCAAAGAACCGACAACCGTTGCGGAAAAGAGGTTCTCTAGTGGCAGCCTCGTACCGGTAGGTGAAGTGTAGGGCGACCCTCCACTAGATGGAGTGACGACCTGGTAAGACATGCAGGAAGTCGTTGGATGCAGGTGGCTCAGGACCGTGCTATGTGGCATACCTTGGGGGAGGCCTATGTTCAGCAGTGGACTTGTGAAGGGCTGTAATGATGATGTATATTACGTAATTAAACATTACTTTAGAAAAATGGCGCGTTGATACATGAAGGTTCGCCACCCCTGCCGTAGGTGTTTGTAAGAGACGACAGAGGGAAAACTGGATAACTGCATCTTCTTGGTAACAACTCAAAATAATATAAAACTGCGGTTGCCAAGCCAAGCTAAGTTGCTAATCGTGGCAAATATGGCAGAATCTTCCCTAGGAGGGAATCTATGTTCAGCAGTGGATTTTTTTAGGCTGTATTAGTAGTAGTAAGTAATTAGTAACTTGTACTACACAAGTAGTTTCTATTTTTTTTTACATCAAGATCATCAACAAGTAACATTTTACAATATAGCCGCAGTTTACTTAATAAATGTAGGATAACAATTTTATTAGTTTTTCATTCTCCTATTTTACAAAGGTATCTAAGATATCCACATTATTCGAATTTATCCGGCTGGTGTTCTTAAGGTAGGCGAAATAGACGGATATTAAAATGGGCGGATAATTTTAGCCATATATGTGTAACGATAAATGTTAAATTATATATTTACAAATTGAATTACATTTAATATCAACTTCTTTAAGAAGGTGAATTATTAATTTATTACGATGTAGTGACGGCGCGGCGTAAGAAAATTCACTACCCTATATCACACTTTGGGTGTCGTAAAGCCTTGTACGGTCTAAGTGTTCCAATGTACACGTAGTCGGTTACGCGTACACAGGAACGCGTATACAATTTGTGCACGGGTGTCGACTCTCTATATTATGTTTAATATAGGCTATACCACTATGAAAATAAAAAGGAATGTAACGACCAAAAATTTTGGTTCTTCAATGAAGAAAGGAAAAAATTGAGCATAGTTAGTTATAATTTAAAAATAGTAAAATTGACAAACCCCCATGAACAATCGATGAGCGCCTGTTGACTGAGACGAACAAGATGGCCGCCGTTGCGTAAGAACAGCGCGCCCTCTACAGCACCGACCGTTCCGAACGACCAGCACGAGCCGCACACCGACTGGTCTGCAAAGTTTTGGTTTTTTATATAAGTATTTAATTTTTTTATATTTATTACCGTGTAGTGATGTAAAACAATCCAGCACCCATAGTCACGGGGGACTGAGGTGACTGACGTCTCGATGACAATGTTAATTCGGAGTACCTTCAGCTTTTTAATTATTATTTATGGTCCGATCCACGCAGAATGAATTAATTGTGCCTTGAAGTCTTGCAGTGGTATGCTTGGGTTTAGTTTCAATTTTATTAATTACAGGGTCCCAAGCAAGTGTTAGTACCCAGCCTCATTCTCTATTGAAATTAGAATGTTTTTAATGTCAATAGCCTCACATATCATCCTTGGTAGGAATCGATGTTCTTTCGCGAGGATTTGGGGTCTATTAAATCTGATGTAATTGTTGGGGCCGCCTAGGATATGATCACAAACTGAAGACTTTAAATTAAGCACGATAAAATCCGTAAAAGTAGTTTTAATCAATGTATAGTGTTCGCGTAAATATAAGAAATCATGATATCATTATATCATAGAGTTCAATTTAAGTTCGTTATTGTTGAGTTACAGCCAATTAAAGTCCACTGCTGAACACAGATTTCGCGCATAGAGTGAATAAATATAAAATATAACTAAGAAAGAAACATTAACCCTTATATTTTCCTAAGAATTGATCTACCCCGCTATGAAATCTGTCAAATATTCATTGTAAAGTGGCACCGCCCGCCGAGTGTGTTGAGCATGTGCTGTAAAACTTTTTATGCATGTAGCATGTGGGTTTGGTACAAGCAGCGGACGTATAGTGCACTGCGCGTTCAATACAACAACGCGTTTAGGGTTTTAATGGAACCAGTAGTGCTACTATGTTCATGGAGGCACGTACGGACCACTTTTATGCTACAATGAAAAATAGATGCTACTCGCTTCTTTTTCGTATTAGACTAGTCGATAGGTGGGACTGTCCGCTTTTAAAACACTAGATTCGCCTGCATGCATAAGCATGAAAATTTAAAATCGAAGTAATAATAATAAAATGTATTTATTAATAATATTACTAATATTGGATATTGTTTTTAAAATGTTTGATAATTTTTGTTTTATTTTTAGATTGTAAGCAATCTAACCAACAATGAATATAAAATAAAATAATGTAATGTTACTAACCAATTTATGGACCTTTGTCTGAAATAAGATTTTGTTATTGTTATTAATAATAATAATATCAATATGGAGAAGGAAAAGAAAAATAAATCGTAAAAAACCACCTTCCCGCCATTTTTCAATTGTTTTGTTGTCCGCCAAAATGAGTGAATCTAATGAAGAAATTCAATACATTCTGAAGTTTTATTACAAAAAAGGGAAATATGCGACTCAAGCCGCGATAATATTTGTGATGTTTATGGACCTAATGCAGTGTCAGTGAGAGTAGCACAAAGTTGGTACAAGCGTTTTCAATCTTAAATAATAATATCAATATGGAGAAAATTTTCTAACGCATCTTGTGATATCTTAAAAAATTGCCTTTATTTTGCTTATTTCGTATCGCATAATTGAAATTTCTAATAAACCCAGGAAAAAAGTAATATTACTATGTTTATCATTCTCAATAGACATTTGGAGACGGAACGCGTTGAACAATGACTTAAAAGCCCAGAGGCCATGACAATATATATTTTTTTAAACTTGTTTTATTTTTAAAAAATACCGGGAATTTTGATATCAAAGATGCATCTCGCTCTAGTCATATGGATAAAGTCGATACCATTTTTGAAAAAGTACCACATGAGCTCACTGAAAGAAACCTAATGAATGGTGTACTCATTTGCGGTTCTCTATTGAAACGTAATGAAACCGAACCATTTTTGAAAATATTGATGTGTCTATCTCCTCAACAGTATTTTTCTAAATGGCGTCATTTCGTATATGTTGCAACCATTGCGGGCTTGTATTTACTGCCCGGGAGAAATAATTTGCTTAATTTCGTTTCTTCTTTAAATATATGGGTATAATGTTATGGTTTATACAACAAAATATAATAAACATGTTTTTCTCATCTAAATTTATATATTATTATAACATTAGTGCTAAAAGCGAAGTATAATAGTAATTAAAGTATTTTAAAAAATGGCGGAAAATGGCGGGGTTTGAATCGCCGCCATGAAGGTTAGAGAACAGGAGAACCATAGCCCGCCTGTCTTTGAAAATTGTAGAATATATAGCGGCGCTGACGTCGGTGAGCAGTAACTGCGAAGTTAGCTGTTTATGAGTACAAGTAGATGAAGTCAGTTGAATAATGTACAAATTTTAATTTCATTTTTTATTGAGAAAATTTTCATACTCCGTAATTTTGTAATATTTGACAAAAAGAAACATTAAAAAATGGCGAAATATTTTATTGTGCGTGGATGTGCAAGTGGTTTAGCATCTGATCGGAAAAATAGATTCAAAATGACTTTTATTGGCCGAACGTCGAACGATCGCAGTGCATCACTTGATGGTGTCCATATTTCTGGACACTATTTTCTATGGTGATCGTTCTCCTGTTCTCTAACCTTCATGATCGCCGCAATGGATGACAGTTACTGACAATAGATATTAGACACGTAGCCGGGATGGATGTTTTCACTGTTGAGCGGATATAGTAGGATTGGAAGCATCCTTTATTATGAGCTTTTATCGCGGGGCAAAACCATCGATGCCAACAACTAATGAGACTCAAGCAAGAAATTAAGAAAAAAACGGCCGGAATTGTTCAACAAAAATCGAGTGGTCTTTCATCATGATAACGCCAGACTACACACATCTTTGGCTACTGAGCAAAAATAGAGAGAGCTTGTTTGGAAAGTGTGAAATGTATCCAGAATATAGTTCTGACCTTGCACCCTCAGATTTTTATCTGTTTTAGTCTCTTTAAAATTTTTGAGTAGTGTTAGGTTAACATAAAGAGGGGACAGTCAAAACTACTTGTCGCTTTTTGGTCCAACATCCAGATTTCACAAACGGGGTTATTTCTACATAAACCTTCCAAATAGAAAAAAAGTTATCGATCAAAATGGCACATATATATTATAATTAAATCCTTAAAAATATCCTTAATTTGTATATAAAATAGGTAGAAACTTTTCCCCGACCTTATATGTTCTTAAAAAGAAGATTTCGTATTGATTTACCTTTCACTGGTGTAACAGCACCAAACAGCCTCCAGTCGAATTCGGGGGGCAGTTTCACTTGCATCTCCTTCAACTCGGATTCCCCGTATGGGAAAGGTAGACCTAGAAGTAATTTTGCAAGACCGTTAATAACCTGCAAACATTTTTTCAATTCCATTTCTTTCAGGGTTGACTTGTAGAGAATACCATAAGTATATTCTCTACAAGTCAACCCTGCACAATAATGCATACATAATCGATTGTATATATTATATTATATAGGTAGTATATGTTTGATTAATTCTAGCCACACTGCAGCTATTTTATGATTGTAATACGAATGGGTCGTCTCGACCGGGGAAAGACGACACTTTCACAGAATACCATCGTAAAATAGCAGCTTAATGCTGCTAATCGTATGGTGAGTGTAGAGTCCCAGAGAACGCTTTTTACTGGAAACGAGGCATTCCATGTTGGTCCTCAGGGTTGGCAACGCATGTACGTTTCGATTTTATTAATCGAAGATAATAATGTAGATGTCTAGGGACCACAGCATCCACTTACCATCAGGTGGACCGTGTGTTCGTTTGTCATTTATTCAATAAAAAAGGCTTATAGTTTGCGACAGATAGCGATGGAATCATCTCGTTTGCACCAGACATAAAAAATACCAGACCAGTGTGTCCGAAGTCGAGTCCTTGTTAAACAAAGTCTCGGGTCATTCAGGTTGAGAAGAGCAGTCAGCAGTCCTTTTTTCTTGAGAATAATGGTACTTGAGTAGAATATTGTGGTTACTATTAATCATGTGAATGCTCGAGTGCCTCCGAGAAGAGCGTTGACCTGATGAAACACAAGCAGTCGATGGATCCAAATGGCTTAGTACCTCTACTGGGTCAATCTATGTGAGGCCTATGTACAGCAATTAATTTGTAATGGACTGTAGTGATAGTGAATTGTCTAATTTTTATGACCCCCTCGTGACACACTTGGATAACTAATTGAGAACCACAGGGCTATTAAAACACCCCTAGCTTTTCTACTCACCCACAGATTTGGGTGCAATGTATCTTAACTTGGAGCTACACAGTAATTAAGAGCCACCGGGCTATTAAAACAGTCTTTGCTTTTCTACTTACACATAGGATTGGGTCCGCTGTACCTTAACTTAGTTACACAGTAATTGAGGGCCACTTGGCTAATAAAACACCTCCTAGCTTTTCTACTTACCCATAAAATCGGGTCTATTGTATCTTAATTTGGAAATACACAGTAATTGAGAACCACTCGTTTAATAAAACAGCACCCTAACTTTCTACTCACCCATACATTGTATCTTAATTTAGAGCTACATAGCTGTTCTCTTCTGAGGTTATTGAGCTACAGAGTAATTGAGAGCCACTGGGCTATTAAAACACTCCCTGGCTTTTCTACTCACCCATAGGATTTGGTCCACTGTACCCAAATTTAGAAATATTCAGTAATTGAGAACCACTATGCTATTAAAACACCCTAGCTTTTCTACTCATCCATAGAACAGTGTACGTTGTATCTTAATTTAGAGCTACAGAGTAATTGAGAGCTACTGGGCTATTTAAACACCCTCTAGCTTTTCTACTCACCCATAGGATTGGGTCCACTGTATCTTAATTTGAAGCTACACAGTAATTGAGAGCCACTGGGCTATTAAAACACTTACCCAAAGGACTGAGTCCACTGTATCTTCGTCCCCGTAAAGCCGCCAGCTCGTCGTCAGTGCGATCAGCCAGGTGGTTCACAGACAAACTAAAGCCACGCCGCGCGCGATTGTTAGAGTGAATGAAGCTGGAATTGTAATATACAATTATTATTAACTGGATTATAGTCAACCAAATCTAAGAAATACCTTTTGACGTTTCACATTAATCATTCCGCAATAACTTTGCATAAGCGTACTCATACGATTTACAATAACCTTTTACCTAAATCCGTAGAATTATGAAGTTATCTATATATAATTACAACGTGTTTAATTTTTTATCGCTAATTTAAATTTGAATCTTTCAAACAAAGTAAAATATTAAAAAAATAACCAGCATCAACTTTTTTTACGTGACGTCGTTTCAATGATATGTCGCTATGTGTCTTACCGTAGTGTTTGGATGATTAAAATTCGTTGATATGTGAATAATCGCCAAAAAGATTCAAGTAATCGTTAAAAATATTCAAATAATCGAATCATTAATTTTTTTATGTATTATTTGTTTAATTATTTTTTTATTTTTAAAATTCCTTAAATTACATGAATCATAATAAAACAAATAAGTTTGTTGATTTTTTTTCTTGCGTCTACAAATGCAAAATATGTAAAAATTTAGTTTAAGATCCTGAAAATTTTTTCTTCGGTCGTACTACTGCAGGAAGTCAGGAATTAGAGATATTCCAGTTTAAACGAAATACATACACATCAGGACTAGTCTGTATGGTATAAAACGCCTTAACTGAAAATCGTTACAACAACTTTTTTTGTTAGGAAAATCATTTATTTCGGAAACGCGATACTAAACAGTATCTGAGAAAGCGAGCGAAGTAAATACGAAGAAACCTGTGGGTGTTGGAAACATCTGTATGACAATAATAATTAGCGTTTTGAGTGTCGTACTTATAACGCGTGTGTGGAAACACATCGCTACAAAAATATTATCACACATTTATTATACATGTATAATGAATACCATGGTACTGCGATTACTACGTTTACGAAAGATTCCAGGTGTGCCAATTACTACCAAGTGTATTTAAAACCCAAACAATATAATGGCCTTACCGTAGATTCTGCCTGAAGATATTCAAGCGTTTAGCGTGCTCCACCTCACTGGCGTATTGTCTGTTGTGTTTAGCCTTGAATCTAAAAAGGAAACAATATATTAGTACAAAATTCGCATTTAATAATTGAAGTGAAACTTCTTTATTGATGTAGTGGAGAAATTTAGTACGGTATTTAAAAAAAGTCACGTTTTCTTGTAACGTTTCACCTGGGCCGCATGAGTAATAAAATAAAAGAATGACATGTCGTAAAGAAGTTTGTTTTCGTAAGTGTGAATACAATTAGACGTACAATTTTTTTTAAAGTTCTTCCTTATTAATCAACAATTAAGACAGCACGAGATATGTAACCCAATTATGATATAGGTTCTGTTTTAAGAGCATACCCGTTCTGCAGATATTTGAATAGATTTTTACGTTCTATTACTGCTCTGTGCCAAATCTAAAGGTGGGTCTACGCTAGACGAGCCGAGCACGAGCGGAGCATGAGCCGAGCACAAATTCATGTAGTGTGAACCGACTTACAAACATCGAACGAGCGAGCTTCGAGCGTTTGTTTCCTGCTCGACTGTGCTCCGCCTAGTGTCGGTTTTTTGATAAACACAAAGGGATTTGAAGGCTGAGAATTTGGAAGTTGTACACTTGACACCGCGAGTAGAGTGGCTCAGCTTGTGCTCAGCTCGTGCTCGGCTCAGTGGTGTCTTAGAGAGAGCTGCTTAGGCCCTGCAGGTCTCGGGCCTCGGGGTATGCCCCCATTGCCCGGGCTATCCTCGCGGCCCACTACTATGGGCCGGTCCTGGTAGCCTTATCTAAGGCGTTGTTAATTTACTAAAAAAATTTCCGGATTTCAGTCCGTAGTTGGTAAATTTTTTCGTAGTCGGTTAAGACTACAAAACAGGAGGTTATCTTGTGAAGTCTAAGTTGGCATATCAGCGGCATTGTGGGTTTTACTCTCGTGCTCGGCTCCTCCAGCCTGGGCCCACCTTAACAAGCCAGAAAACCGATAGAGACCATACAAACTTGATTATCTGTTATCCGCTACAACCTATGAAAAGTCCACTGCTCAACATAGAGACATAACCCACAGATTGCCTCATAAGGGGAATTTCGCCAGTTGCTATGCTTAGCAGGCTGTTTGGCAATCCCAGTTATTCATAACTTTACTTAGTTGTACTTAGGAAGACGCTGACAAAGGTATACTAATGCTGGAGATGGGCAACATCTTTCTGATTTGATCTGAACAGCAAAATAACAATAAAAAAACCGCGGTTACGATCCCGCTGACCAAGCATGGCAACTATGGTAATATGGGGTATATTGGCAACCCTTAGCGACAGTTATAACGAGACGGTCTCCAGTCCTAGGCGGCCCCGCTATTCCTAGTTAAGGTGACGACCATGGTAACGCCGGGACAGGAGTGCTATGGATCTCCAGTGAAAATTCGGTTGCCACCTATGACGACTCCATCTGGCAACATATAACGCACGTACCCTGGGGATTGCGAGATCTTGGAGCTGGAAGAAGAGATAGGCAAGTTACGCTGGGATCTGAGGTCTGAAGTGAAGGAGGACACTCGAATCCGGTAACTTATTCTATCGCTGGGAGGGCGACCATCTTTTCCAAGGTGTCGGATTTATCGTGCACAAGTCTCTCGTTAACAACGTTATAAAGATTTGGAGTGTGTCGCCGAACGTTATAGTCAGAATAACCAAATGGTATTCGTTAAAGGACATACAGGGTTACGTACCAAGTTTGCACATCTCGTTTAAGAGTTGGAGGAAATGTATGAGAATATCTCTAGAGCCATAAGTTCTTCCACAACCCACTATACGGCGTTAATGGGAGAAATCAACGCAAAACTAGGCACAAGAGAGAATGGTGAGATAATGATAAGAGTAGCGAAATTCGGAGTAGGGTAACGAAATCCAAGCGGCCAGCAACTAGCCGATTTTATGGAAAAAAGAGGGACTCTATATGATTAACTCTTTCTTCCAGAAGCGGCCCCACAGAAAGTGGACTGGTTGAACGGTGAGATAATGATAAGTGTAGCGAAATTCGGAGTAGGGCAACGAAATCCAAGCGGCCAGCAGCTAGCCGATTTTATGGAAAAAAGAGGGACTCTATATGATTAACTCTTTCTTCCAGAAGCGGCCCCACAGAAAGTGGACTGGTTGAACGGTGAGATAATGATAAGAGTAGCGAAATTCGGAGTAGGGCAACGAAATCCAAGCGGCCAGCAACTAGCCGATTTTATGGAAAAAAGAGGGACTCTATATGATTAACTCTTTCTTCCAGAAGCGACCCCACAGAAAGTGGACTGGTTGAGCCCCGACGTTCGTCAAAAATGAGATGGACTTTCTGGCAATGGGCCGACAACATAGCTCGAAGTACCGACAACTGATGGAGAAGAAAGGTTCTCGAATGGCAGCCTCGTACCGGTGTAGCGAGGCGAGGCGAAGTGTGTGTTGACGACTTGGTAAGACATGCAGGAAATCGATGGATACAAGTGGCTCAATACCATACTTGGTGGCATTCTATGGGGGGTGCCCATGTTCAGTGAACTCGTGAAGGGCTGTAATGATAAGACGCTGCTGCTCATCTCTTGTTTTGTTACCCTCTGTCGCCAATATTGCACTAGCAACACTCCAGTAATTAAATCATTAATTTGGTAATATTTTTGTCGGATATATTTACAGTTTAAGCTCCATACGAGATGATCCTTACATTTTATGAAATGAGACTAATGAAAATCGGTAAAATTTGTTTCATTTAATGTGTAGTATTCGCGTAAATGTAAAAAATCATCATGAGACTGTCAGTTGTCACCTGTCAAATTCGCTGTCAACGTGAGCGTCGTGCACGGGATGTACGAACTCCTTCATGGGGTTGAAGGTGGCGTAGTGGCGCGACCCGGGACCCGGGAACGACGTGCACTGCATACCTATGATTTAATATAAATTTTAATACCAAAAATTGTACCTGAATATACAATAATAATTAATATACTATATATAATAATTAATAACGTTTATTTCCAACCACAATGGTACCTACATAAAATAAGAACATGCTTAGATATTATTATTTTTATTATATAATTATTGCAACATTGCCCATTGTGAGAGAGCTGAACCCGTACTAGGATACCCTGTGTTACAGTACGTGTTCCGACCCCCATACTCGGACTTGATTCATATATTGTAATACCATAGACATTCTTGTGTGTGTGCGTTCAAATGTTTTATTTAAATTTTATTTACATTCCATTTTTTATTCATTGCATTGTTTTGCATATATAAGCAAAATACCAATAACTTACTCACTCATCACGAGGTCTTCAAAAATATACGTCCGATTGACTTGAATTGTGGCATATATACTACTTTCTCGACACACACACAGACTAAGAAAGGATTTCAATTAATCAATCAATCCCATAGGCGGTGAAATAGGTTGTTACAGCAGCAAACATATATGACATACTACATCAATGGATTCCCCGTAAACATAAACGAAAAATGTTGCGAACTTAGAAGATTTTAACTCCCTAGTTTTAAAAAAAACGTTACATGCCGCGTTTTTGAGCCCCCCGCTCCTGTAACGCATCTTAACGTTTTATAAGACCCCGAATGAAATTTTAATAGGCTGTAAATAATAAAAGAATTTGTGCGTGTGCATGCGTATGCATGCATGCATATGCGTGCGTGCGCGCATGTGTGAATTACTTACTGCGATCAATAACAAATACGTTGGGGTCGATATCGTCAACATCATAGTCCCTGTAGTCGAGGTAGTAGTGGTCATAGTGCGAACCCAACAGCGAATTGAATCCTTTCATCTCGTACCTGAAAATCATAATTGGTATTGTACTCTTCATTTGATATCCTAGGTATCCACATAAGAACAGTATCTCACAGGGGTCAGCTCAATGAGCTGAAGTGGCAATGTCATATCGATCGAAGAACAAAAAACCGATGGCAAAAAAAGGTTCTTTAATGGCAAACTCGTACTGGCAAGCGCGGTATTGGGCGACCCAGAGTCGATGAAGGCAGGTGGCTCAGGGCTGTACTTTGTGGCAATTAATGAGGGAGGCCTTTGTTCAGCAGTCGGCTTGTGGTAGGCTACAGTGATACTCTTTATTGAGCCTTTAAGTTTTTAATAAGACTGAATCGATAATCAAGCTATTATAGTCCGCCAGACGGTAAGTGCCTACCGGACACCTGCAATCTCTTACCAATTACGACAGTCCTACATTTACACGAATGTTTGATATTGAGTAAAACTAATTTACGCATATTGAATAAAACTAAATTTACGGATTTTATCGCGTTTATTTCACTACTTTTACTTATTTTTAATTCCCGACGTTTCGGGTGCTTTACAGCAACCATGGTCACGGGGGGGACTGAGATATTTGACGTCCCAATGTCATAGTTAGTCCGGCTACCTTCAGTTTTTGAATATTAATTTTTGGTCCGATTTACGCAAAACGAGGTTATAGTATCATGAAGTCTTTTTTTTTTTTTTTTATAGGATAGGTGACAATCTATGATAATTCAGTAAATAGGGTCTAAAGTGAATAGGGCTGCAGTGGTATGCTTAGGTTTGGGTTTAATTTTGTTAATTATAGGATCCCAAGCAGGTTGCAGCACCCATCCATCTTCTCTATTGAAATTTGGATGTTTTTTAATTTCAATAGCCTCGCGTATCATCCTTGGTAGGAATCGGTGTTCTTTTGCGAGAATTTGTGGTTTATCAAAACGAATGTAATGGTAATTTACGCATTTTATCCACAGCGTCCACTTTATCATCAGGTGGACTGTATTTTCTTTTTTTTTATAGAATAAACAAACGAGCACACAGTCCACCTGATGTTAAGTGGATACTATAGCCGATAGGCATCTACATTTAACCTCAATTAAGAATCAAAATGCAGATGCGTTTGTCACCGGTGAGGATAGAATGCCTCGTTGTCAGTAAAGCGGGTTTACAGTTCTCTACACTCATCATACGAAACACAGTAGCATTGAGGTGCTATTTAACGCTGGTATTCTGAAAGAGCGTGATCCTTCTCCGGTCGAGTCGACCCATTCGTGATACAACCATGTGGTGGTAAAGCCACAATGCAACTATATCTACTCATTTGTCATCCATACGCATACGCACGTGCATGCAGAACTTTTAATGACATTTCCAATAGCGTTGACTTGGATCTGTTTAGTACCAGTGTTTCTCGAATCAAAAATATTTTAGCGAAAAAATTCTTTTGTTAAGTGTTTTTCTGTTTAATTTAGTTAATTTACTGTATTTGTCTTAATCGATATTTATCTTTTACCGACTAGTATTATTGTTTTTAAGTTCATATTGCCTATAGGTGAAAACTTTTAAATGGACTTCTAGTTGCTATTAATTTATTTACTGTTAATGTTAGCTGTAAGTTTTCCAATAAGAATAAAATAAAAATAAAATAAATAAATATTTTGAAAAAATCATATCCTCGAAATATTTTATTGATTTAGAATCATACCTGACGGGAATTGGCAATGGATCTCCTTTGAGACTCTTCCTGTATTTCACCCACATGGTGTACTTGTTCACCTTGTCGCCAATCGTCTGAACCATCCTCCATTTTGCAGTTTCCGAATCTAGCATCGTTTCTGTACCTGCAAAATTAAAATCAATACAGTAAATGACAAACATTTTGAGCCGACTTCAAAACGGGGAGGTGGTTCCGTATTCGAATCTATGTTCTTTTTTTAAATGTATATTACGCGCTATCATCGACAATTGTTTTCATTTCAGACTCCCGAGGTGGTTGCATAAAATTTTGAAAAAGTAACCCATCCCTAAGGGTGGATATATAGAAGATAAAGTTTTATATCAGATGACATTGAAACTTGTGATATTCCACATGAGTCATTTCAATGAATAAAAAATGGACTTTTACATAAAAAGTAAAGACTTCAAAGAGTTCAAAAAAAGTTTAATAACCAAAAGCACTTACCAACAAATTTGAAGTCCGTCATGTCGGGCAGAACCGATTGTATGTTGATGCTGTTTTCCTCAGTGCCATTTACTTGGAGGCAGGTTTCCTTGTTCAGCTCCTTCTCAGTGGTCACGGGGGCTACCTGTAACAACGACAGCAAGTATTGATCTAAAATCAGGTCATTACCACAATTATTTTGACTTCAGAATTCGGATTATTTCCAGACTTGGGGGGTGTTAGCAATATTAAGTAGCGACACTAAGTTGTCTATGAAATCCAGTTTGTACATGATTTAGTTTCCCTTTTTCATTATTTTAAAGATGGCGTTACATTTATAAATAAGATGTCTCGCATTTTATTAAACATGCGTGATCCTTCAACCTAGAAGATTCGCGAAAGTTTTGGTGGCATTTCGGGGCTACCCCCAGACTATCTGTACGTCGCCTAGGCACGGCCTTAATCCTGTGGAGCTGGAGTTAAGGAAGGTGCAAATTAGTGAGCTATATCTCATAAAAAATTTCTTTGCGCTGTGTGTACTTTTCTTCGAAGAAAATCGCAACTCTGGCACAACTGTCAAGGAGCTTGGTGAGCTACCTCGGCAAACCAAAACTGCAAATCCATATATTGCATGACTGGAAAGCATCGGCAGGAACATTTAGTTTTTCACGCTATCATCATCATTATCATCATCATTACAGCCCTTCACAAGTCCACTGCTGAATATAGGCCTACCCCAAGGAATGCCATAAAGCACGGTCCAAAGCCACCTCCATCCATCGACTTCCTGCATATCTTGCCAGGTCAACACTCCATCTAATGATCTAGTCTAGCTCCACACTTCGCATACCGGTACGAGGCTGCCACTCGAGAGCCTATCTTCCCCATCGATTGTCAGTCCTTCAAGCTATTTTTTTTACAGAAAAAGGGTGACAAACGAGCACACAGTCCACCTGATGGTAAGTGGATGCTGTGGCTCACAGACATCCACATTTATCCTCGATTAACAATCAAAACGCAGATGCGTTGTCACCCCTGAGGACTAAGTTGGAATGTCTCGTTTCCAGTAAAAAAGGGTCTCCAGATCTCTACACTCATCATACGAAGCACAGCAGCATTAAGCTGCTATTTTACGCTGGTATCCTGTAGGAGCGTGGTCCTTCCCCGGTCGATCCGAACCATTCGTGCTACAACCATAATAAAGCTGCAGCATGGCTCTACCACGTATAAACTCAGCTCTATATGGCCGGCCCATTGCCACTTCAGCTTAGTAATCACTTCACAAAAGCTTCCGTATTACCTTCTTCTTAATCAGCTCTTAAAAATCAACTGCTGTAAATGGGTCTCTTAAGTTAAAGGAAATATTTGCCCAAATCGCAGGTGGTTTATCTATTGTGGTACCAGACGTTTTGCACATTTGATGCTGTTTCCCGTCTCTGGACTGGGTATTGTACGTCAAGATAAATCGAGAGGGTTATACCACCACCTATCGGAAGCCATGAGATCTTTTAAGAATTGCCCATTGCCAAACCAGCTACGTCACTGGCAACTTGGCCAGTTTTTAAAAACTCAGCAATATTACAATTATTTGAAGCTTGACACCTGTCTGTACCGTTACCGGTTTCTATATTCAAGAAGCGTTTTCCATCCCGTTATAATCCGCTGTATTTTTGTCACGTACAGTGTCTATAAAACCGTTTATAAAGCAGATGATTGGTTTCATTAGATAGAATAAAGTAACTGCTACAGCGCGCGACTTTGATGCGCGCGCTGCGTTCACTTAAGGTGGTCTCACAACAGACTGATTTGTTTAAATATAGGTATTCTGAATGAATACACATCAAAGGCCGCTTATTGTAAAATATATATGTATAATGTATGTTTGTTTTCGTTTCTAAGTTTGTAACTACATTATTGTATTAGGTAATACATATGTGATGATATTTATAAGTGGTAAATAAATAAATAAAATAAACTTTATGTTCTCTCTCTTTAAAGTTCTCAATTGGTCGCAGAATGGATGTTTCATATGACTCTTTTTCTTTCTTATTAGAAAAGGGATCATCAGTAGCTCAGTGGTGGTTTCAAATAAATATGGTAAAAATCTCATTAGTGAGACTCATTAGAAATTCATCAAACTCTTCAATTTACAAAGGCATCAGCACGACATATGGGCAAATGATTCTTTACCAAATCAGGGATTTCTATGATTATTTTCGTTTTGGTTCTTTCGAATGGAATTTTAGTTTTAAAAGTGTAATATTGTTATAAACTTAAATAATGTACCTGATGTTTTCGAGTCACCATTTAAAATGCGTGAACTTTTATCTATAATGCTGGCATTCTGTCAAATTACAGACCCACTGCGTCAGGGATAGCCTATCAGAAGACTACAAACGACAAGTTAAAAGGCTTTCTGGCATTATAGATGAACATCTAGCAGATGAAATCTACAATGTCTGCTCACAATAGGAGAAGCTGTATTAGCATTACGAGGACAAAGCCCACAGCAGTGCGAGTTGCCTCAGCCTCAAAGGTCTGAAGGCTTACACAATAACCGGGACTACCTTAAGGAAACAAGTTACGATATCAATGCCTTAGCAGAACTGGTGTCAAGTAGTGTAGGTAACCAATGAATAAAGACATATGTATTATACAATACTTTCCATTATCGACGCAGGTGCAGGTGATATCTTTTTTGGGAGCTCCTGGTGGAAACAGGCAAGACTTTTCTATTAAATTTACTGTTGGCCAAAGTGAAAAGCAATACCGATATTGCCTGAGAGGTCGCATCGTCCGGAATTGCTGCCACTCTGCTGGAAGCAAGTAAAACTGCACACTATGCGTTTAAACTCCCTTTCGATTTGATACAAACCGAAGTCCTACTATGCAATATACCCAAACAAAGTAATGTGGCAGAGGTACTCTGCAGAAGAAAATAATTGTTTGGGATGAGAGTACTACGGCTCATAAAGGGGGTTTCGAAGCCCTAGATAGATCTTTACAAGATATTGGAGATAATAATAGTCAAATGGGAGGAGTTACTGTATTTGTTAGCGATTTCCTGCAGACTTTACCAGCAGTGCCCAGAGGAACGCGTGCGGACATAGTTAAAGCATGCGTGGTCTCATTTGTGACACAGCCACATGTTATCCTACTGGAGCAACTAGGATGGCTTTTTTATTCTTACCTTGATTGAAGTACCATACTTGGGGAAAACGGAGGAAGACATTTGGTAAGTCCTGACCATGTTGCCGTAGTAGTCGATCCGGGACTTGCCATTCTTGCCGTCGTACCTGTAACAAAAAGTTTATTTTTTCTAACATCAGCATTAAAATTAACTCGGGTTATATTAAAAGATTACCGTGTAGTGACGATGTAAGAATCACTACCGTGTATGGTACCGTGTATCGTAGCATGGGTATTGTAAGAAACGACAGAGGGAATCAAACAACATGGACAGGAGATTCTTCTAAAAAAAATAAAAAAACTGTGGATGTCAACCCTCAACCCGCCCACCAAGCGTGGCAGCTATGGAAGTTATTCCCCCTACGAGGCAATCTACGAGGAGGCCTTCAGGGAGACCTCGGATAGGCCATAACGGACCGTCTCACAGAATACCAGCGTAAAATAGCAGCTTAATACTGCTGTATTTCGCATGGTGAGTGTAGAGATCCGAGACCCTTTTTTACTGGAAACCGGGTATTCCATATTAGTACTCAGGGGTGACAACGCATCTGCTTTTTGATTCTTAATCGAGGATAAATATAGATGCCTATGGGCCACAGCATCCGCTGACCATCCAGTGGACTGTGTGCTCGTCTATCACCCTAATTCTATAAAAAAAAACTATGAGAGTGCGATAATAGAGAGTGCACCTGTGCTTGGCTAGTAAAAATTTAAACCGAGAGGCTAAAGTCTGAAGAATTTGTTGACTTCCGTCTTTCTGATTTCTTCAAGAAGGGCATCAATAAACTGCCACTGCGTTGCCAAAATTGCATCGATTGAATAGGTGATTACTTTGAATAATAGAGATAAAAATATAGAAAAAAAATACGTGTGGCACTCGGTGACTGCCGCGGTAAAGCTATTGCATAGCATTTTTTATCAACTTATGCAATTATAATTATTTATTTATTTTATTTATGCAGTTAAGTCTTTGCTATTAAATCAAGTTACACTTTTTGAGCGTGGTGACCGATAAGAAAACAATTTTTTTTCTCTTATTGAATAAATGAGAAGTTAATATTGTTTAAAATATTTTTAATATCTTACAATACATGTAGGTTATTCAGGAATTTTTATCATTGAGTTAGCAGCTAGTGTACACGCATACGTCTAGTCGCACGCACACAAACACCGTGCCGAAGTCTGCCGAGTGCCGAAGTCTGCCGAACTGAAACGACGTTAGACGATGCACGGCTTTCAACGCCACACCTCCGTGCCCGTCGGAGTGGGGGAGCGTGAGGTTTTTTTTCGTTACGGAATTTCTGGATTCGGTCCCCGCGCTCAAGGCCCGCGATAGAAGCTATGCAATAGCTTAAAAAATCACGTTATTTCATTAAAAACGGCAATTTCATAGGTAAAGACCTAATATTTTTTAATTGTTGTTATGAAGATGTTGTTGCCCATCTACTGGTTTGTTTCCCTATGTCGCCTTCAACGACACACACGGGTCTATATCTCGTAATGGGCTCTTGCACGGCTACTATACGGTAATTAGTATATATTGGATCCTTACATATGAAATTAGCGTTTTGTCGTACTGACCACTTTGATCTGGAATATCTCCTTAAAACTCTTTTCGGTTGTTTTTTTTTTTTTTGTTTCTGATCAGTAGAAGTGGGAACAAAATAAAAGTAAATAAAAAGTAAAATAAACGCGATAAAATCCGTAAAAGTAGTTTTAATCATGTATAGTGTTCGCGTAAATATAAGAAATCATTATGGAATATCTCCTCTTTGGTTAAGAATTCCAAATTCAAATTTATAAATTCATTTAGCTGATACATTTGAGTTTTGAAAGCAATCATTCATTTATTTTTTGCTAATAATTTTTTTCTTTGGCGGCGCTTATTTCCGAACAATGGAAAACATGAAATATCGGTATATTTACGAGTAGGAGTTCGTTCACCAGTACAGTACAGTTTCGTGGCACCAGTGCTGCAGAAACAGCTCGAAGGATTAATGATGTGTACGGCGATGGTGCCGCAAAAGAAAGCACGGTACGTTTTTAGTTGCAACGTTTTCGTTCTGGAAATTTTGACCTTCAGAACCAACCCCGTGGACGGCCGGAGACCAAAGTGGAAAATGAAGAATTAAATGCTATTGTGGAAGGGGATCCATCACAAAGCACATCAGAGATAGCTTCAGGTTTCGGGGTAAGTGATCAAAACTGTATTAATCGACTTGAATCAAATCGGGAAATAAAAAAAATCTTGAACGAAGGGTACCTCATGAATTGAGTGAATCGAACTAGCAAACACGCGTCGACTGCTGTGTTACTTTGCTGAACCGACACAAAAATGAAGGTATTTTAAATCGAATCATTACTTGTGATGAATAGTGGATGCTTTACGATTATCGGAAGCGCTTATCGCAATGGCTGAACTCTGGAGACCCAGCTTAATCCTGCCCTAAACGAAAATTGACTCAGAAAAAGTTACTTGTGAATGTTTGGTGGACTAGTGCCGGTGTCGTTCACTACAACTTTCTAAAATCTGGCCAAACGATTACGGCAGATATCTATTGTCAGCAACTGCAAGCCATGAAGAAAGAGCTAGCTGCTAAACAACTAAGATTGGTCAATAACTCTAGGCCACTGCCGCTTCACGACAACGCAAGACCACACACTGCACAACAAACAACCACTAAGTTAGATGAGTTGCAATTGGAATGTCTGCAACATCCACCGTACTCCCGGACCTTGCTCACAGATTACCATTTTTTTCCGGAATTTGGACAACTTCTTACAAGGAAAAAAATTCAACTCCGATGCGGCAGTCCAAACCGCCTTCAAAGAGTTTATTGATTTTCACCCCCATGGTTTTATTAGTAAAGGGATCAATGAACTACCTATGAGATAGCAAAAGTGCATAGATAACAACGGTCCATAGTTTGATTAATTAAATATATTTTACAAAAAAAAATTGACTTTATATTCCGCCCGTACAAAACGCCAATTTCATATGTAAGGACCTATTATTTATATATAATTAGTGATCTGCCCCAGCTTCGCACCGGTGACATCTGCATTCTACAACAGCACCATCTACCGTGTCCAATTATGCTCATAACCTTCCCGGAAGTGCAAGTAATATGTTGACAAAGTTTTAACGCAATCTGATTAACGATACGGCAGCGCATAAAGTACGAACAAACAAAAATTATATATTATTTTCTTATATTAAATTTTACTAGGTATTCGTAATCACGTTAAATTAATTATAGCCGGTTAAATAAAATGCGTTAAAATTATTTTAATTGAAATATAATTATAATTCAACCATCGATTCTTTACCCAACCTGTATATGAATCCCTCGTTTCCAGTAAAAAGGGTCTCCGGACTATTAGTTAATCTGTAAGACGGTACTCATCGCTCACCATACGAAACACAGCAGCACTATCATGCTGTTTCACGGTGGTATTCTCGGGTGTGGGGTCTCCTCCTTGTGTATAAAGTAGGATTAAATTCCTTTTCTTTTTTTTTTTTATTTAAGCCCTTAATTTTTTTTTTTTAAGATCTCGGTCTTGTCACAAGGTTTTGTCAAACTTGTTAAGTCGTTGAGAAAATGGAATTGACTCGAGAAAATCCAAGAGCGATGAGTTATTATGACTTACGAAGTGGTTTAACACAAAAACAGTGTGTTGACCGGATGATTTCTGAATTTGGTAATGAAGCCCCATCCAAAACCACAATTTATCGCTGGTTTGCTGAATTTAAACGTGGACGTGTCAAGCTCAGTGATGATCTCCGTCAAGGTCGTCCAAAAACTGCAGTCACCCAAGAAAACGTTGATGCTCTGCGTAAGCTGATTGAGGAAGATCGACATGTGACATACCGCGAAATTCAGGCAACTTTAGACATTGGCATGAGTCAAATACAAATAATCTTGCATGAACAATTAGGTGTAAAAAAGTTGTTTCTCCGATGAATACCGCATTCGCTCTGTGAAGAGCAAAAAACGGCTCGCGTTACTTGGTGCGTCAGAACTCTCGAAAGATTCCACGCAGGATCCTCAAATGCTGTATACAACATCGTATCAGGTGACGAATCCTGGATATACGCGTACGAACCCGAAACAAAAACCAGTCACGAGTTTGGGTGTTCGAAAATGAGTTAAAGCCAACAAAAATTGTTCGTTCACGGAGTGTTGCAAAAAAAATGGTGGCCACGTATGTCTCCAAAACCGGCCATGTTACGACTATTCCTCTTGAGGGACAAAGAACGGTTAATGCAGAATGGTATGCTAGCATTTGTTTGCCACAGGTGGTTTCTGAACTCCGTAAAGAGAACTGCAACCGCCGCATCATCCTCCATCACGACAATGCGAGTTCTCACACCGCACACAGAAAAAAAGAGTTTTTAGAACAAGAAAACATGGAATTATTAGACCATCCGCCGTACAGCCTCGACCTAAGCTCTAATGATTTCTATACTTTCCCTAAAATAAAGAATAAATTGCGTGGACAGAGATTTTTATCACCTGAAGAAGCTGTGGACGCCTACAAAACGGCCATTTTGGAGACCCTAACTTCCGAATGGAATGGTTGCTTCAATGATTGGTTCCATCGTATGGAAAAATGTGTCAAATTTCGCGGAGAATACTTCGAAAAGCAATAAATACATTTTTAAATAGTAATGTTGTGTCACTTCCTTGATTCCCGAAATTTTCAGTGCCGCCCTCGTAATGCCGCTGTAGACAACCGGAAACGAACACAAGTACACTTGATGGTAAGTGGATGCCGTGGCCCATAGACTACATTTATCCTCGATTAAGAATAAAAATGCAGATCCCTGACGACTAATACGGGATGCCTCTGCCTCGTTTCCAGTAAAAAGGGTATCCGTTTCTCTACACTCACCATACAAACCACAATAGCATTAAGCTGCCATTTCACGCTGGTATTCTGTGAGAGTGTGGTCCTGCCCCCGATCGAGCCGACCCATTCGTGCTACAACCACGTATTGGCTTTAAGCAACAGCATTACTTACAAATAGGACTGTGTACTCGTTTGACATATACAAAAAAAATCTGCTCTACATTCTAACCTACCTCAGATCTTATCTCATAAAGTTGCGACGAGTAACTCTGAGCTACTAGGAGACCATCAACAACAAATAAATCAATATTAATATTAAACTGACAGTATTGACGCAATTAATTAAATCTTTAGAAATATAAAGATTGTTTATATTATTTGAACTTTATCGCGAGGTCACTACGATACCCTCGATGTTTCTCGTTCGAAGATTCAGTACACTGTTCGTTAATCTAAACAAATTGTTATATCTTGAAGTGGTCTTTGACCTTCCTTTGTCCCTTTTACGTAGCTATTCTTGAGCTTCTTTTACTTTATATAGTATTTGATTTGCACTCAATCTAAATAATAGTTACTATGTGAACCGTGTAATAGCGGTTTAAGAACATCCACAACACCATATCGTCCCGTGGGTGTCGAAAGAGGCGATAGAGTGAAAGTGGAAAAAGAGATGGGCAGCTGCATCTTCGTGACAACAATTCAAAGTTAATAACAAACTGTGGTTGCCAAGCCGCCTTACAAGCGTGGTAACTATGGCAAAATCCCCCCTATGACGCAATCTATGGGGGAGTGCGTGCACTACTGCATTTGTACGTGTGGTAGAGCCATGCTGCAGTTATATTAGTATTATAGTTGTAGCACGAATGGGTCGACTCGACCGCGGAAGGACCACGCTCTCACAGAATACCAGCGTAAAATAGCAGCTTAATGCTGTTGTGTTTCGTATGGTGAGTGTAAAGAAACGGAATCCCTTTTTACTCGAAATGTGCCATTCCATTCTAGTTCTCACGGGTGACAACGCATCTGCATTTTGATTCGTAATCGAGGATAGATGATGATAGATGTCTATGGGCCACAGCAACCACTTACCATCAGGTGGACTGTGTGCTCGTTTGTCACCCTATCTTATATAAAAAATATGTTGCAGAAGTGTGTGGCAGAGACGGCAAGCGTCTCCTAGATGATAGTTTATCGGCTATATTGACGATATATTTAAAAATGAGCCAAAATTAAGAATACCCTTGAGTCGAACTTGTGTAAATATAATATGACTGTGTAAGAAACGACAGAATGAAGCAGGATCGCGACAAAAAAGTCCGTAGTATGTGCATATCTCTGGGTGACAGACGTGAGTTTTTTTTTTTTTATAGGATAGGATGACAAACGAGCACACAGTCCACTTGATGGTAAGTGGTTGTTGTACATCTATCCTCGACTACGAATCAAAATGTAAATGCGTTGTCACCAGCATTAAGCTGCTATTTTACACTCATATTCTGTGAGAGCGTGATCCTTACCCGGGCGAGCCAACCCATTCGTCCTACGACTATACTACTAGTATAACTGCAGCATGGCTTTACCACGTATATTTGTGTTTTATGTATTTTTTATCGATTTAAGCAATTTGTGTAATTTATTTTTTAGTTTTATGTATATTTTAGTGCTTTATGTATTTTTTAGTTTGTGTATATCTTCTCCAGCTATGAGAGAGACATGATATGATATAAAAGTTTCACTCACGATCGTATAAACTTATAGTTGTACAAATTCACGGACACATTTTTCTAAATATGCTCAAAACATTGAGATGTATTGTTTGTACCGTTTGTGATTCGGTACCATCGCAACAACTAATAAATGGGAAGTTAAAAATAACGCCTACCATTATTCAGCGCCTTTTAACCGACTTCTAAAAGGAGGAGGTACCCGATTCGACAGTACTTATGTTTTATTTTGTGTGTGCCTTCAAAACTTTTTTCTATGCGAACCGATTTCGATGATTCTTTTTTCATTTGAAAGCTGGTGCTTCTCGTATGGTCCCATATAAAAATCAAGATCTGAGCAGTAGTTTTGGAGTTATCCTTAACAATGCATATTCAATAGACTTCGAATACATTGATGATCTCATTTTATTTATATTGAAGTAGGTTGTACAAAATTTTTAATTTTACCACTTGTTATTTGTACAGGTTTAGTCACAATAAAACAACTACTGCGCAGAAATTATTTCCTTCTGTGCTGAATTTGGGTTTAAACACCCTATTGAGGTCATGATAATGTGAAAATAATGTACGCCACAGCTCGAAGTCATATTTTAATTATGTAATGTTACATATTTCAACACAAGCACAAATTTTAAGAGCTCCGAAGCGCAGTGGCTTAGCAATAAATAAATACGCTCAGCAAGGCTTTAATATAGTATCTAATTAGCTTCTTAACAATCTGCAATCCACGTGCCTATCGTGGCGATTAAGGCAAATCGCACATACAACCGGCAAGGCCCATGTGCATCCGTGCACTTTTATGGGTTGGTGAAGAAGTACTGTCAAGGGCAGATTAGAACAGTGACTATCTTTTTTTTATAGAATAAGAATGGCAAATGAACACACAGTCCTCAATTAAGAATTAAAGTTCAGACGCTTTGTCACCCCAGAGAACTAATATGGAATGCCTTGTATCCAGTAAAAAGGGTCCCCCAATCAAAATACAACTGCTTTTTTACGCTGGTATTCTTTGAGTGTGGTCCATCCCCAGTCGAGCCAACCCATTCGTGCTACAATCATAATATAGCTGCAGTGTGGCTCTACCACATGAAAAACATATAATAGCCTATAGGATATACACATTCATGATACTGTAAATTCACACAATAAACAGCTTACGTATTTAGAAATTTTCATTGTGATCGAATTCAGTAAAGGAATATCATATTATTTGAAACATTTTATTGAATATTATAAATGCATTGCTGACTAGGAAGTATAAAAGTACATACTCAACAACTTCGTTTTCATCATGGCGAAATTGCTAACACAAAATCAATAAGGCGGACTACAGCTGACTCAATATTTTCGCAAGTGTTATTTTAAATAAATAATTGAAACAATGCATTATTAAATGTATGTTATATTTTGAAAAATAGTCTACAGTATGTTAAAGAGAAATATCGAAATTTACAATAGAATAAGGGTGGCAAACAAGCACACAGTCCATCTGATGATTACTGGATGCTGTGGCTCTTAATAAAATCTATATTACATACTCCAGACTAAAAATCAATATGCACATTTGTCTTCGACTGAATACCTCATTAGAAGAGTAAAAAGCTGCCTAGCATTACGATTGAGTCACATCCTTCCTGCAAAGTAAAGACCCAAGTCCATCTGACAGTTGATTGTTACATAGTGAGAAAAACAAAATTGAGAATATTCTAAGTTATAGCACCAATTGGAGTTAATTACAGTCTAATTATATGTTGTGAAATGTTCCATCTTAGTCTAAAGTGGTTTTTTATAGAATATGGGTAACAAAGTAGCACACAGTTTACCTGATGGTATACGGTGCTGTAACCCCTAGAAATCTACATTTATCCTTAATTAAGAAATAAAATGGAGATGCATTGTCACCCCTGAAGACTGAGATGGAATGCATCATTCCCAGTAAAACGGGTCTCCGGTTCTCTACACTAATCATACGAAACACAGCAGCATTAAGCTGCTATTTTATGCTAGTATTCTGTGAGACTAATGGATTGGCTCCACCGAGGTAGGTGGTCCTACCTCGGTGGTATGCTACAACCATAATATAACTGCAGTGTGGCTTTACCACATTTAAAATGATTTTCCTATGAGGTGTAATGTCTACAGCCTTTTTTGTTCAAAGTTAGCAGGTTCAAAGGGCTGCAGTAGACGCTTACCATCAGGTGGACTATAGGATCGGTTATCACACTCCATTTTTTAAAACAGTAAGACTCCCATGAAATGTGGTGCTTGAATTTCAGCTTTTAGTAATAATACTTATAAATAAGACTTACCAAGCATAGAATGGTTCATGTAATTCGGCATAAGGGATGTTCAAAAGACCTTTCACTGTGTATACATTGTTCCATTGTGGTGGATTTTCTGCAACAAAACCTCTCTTATATTATAGGGTATTAATTAACAACCCCCCCCCCCTGTCTCAACTATATATCATGGTTGTGATTACTGGAACTGCAATAGAGCATGGCACCTGTTGGGACCTCAACTCTTTTATTGGCTAAGCGACAACCTCCAATGTTGGGTCTTTGTTCTAAATATGGTCCCCTTTTCAAGTCTTTATTGGGGGGATATGTTATATTTACCCCCGTAGTCAATATTTATTAAACCGTTACCATTATCATTACATGCTATAAAATTATAGTGCTGAACATAGGCCTATCCAATAGATTGCCTCATATGGGGGATGTTTAGCCTCATATAGGGGAAGTTTAGTTTTTATATTTGGACATTATTAGGAGGAAAATGCTGCGGGTTGCCTATAGACATCCGGTACTTGATTTTGATAACGTTTTTAGTCTAGAAGGTTTGTTAGGGTTAAGCTTGAACCTATTACACTGTTTTTAGATGTCGGAAATGCGTTTTGAATTAATTACGATAAAAACAAATTTCAATAAAAATTGTGTAATAATGAAATGCAAATATGTCAATTTGTTCTCGTATTATAAAGTAGATGTCCGTTACTTGATTTTTCAATTTTGTTTTCAATTTAGTAGGATTGTCAGGGTTAAGCTGGAAACATTTACACTGTTTTTGGATTTTGGAAATGCCTTTTGAATTAATTACGATAAAAATAAATTTCACTAAAATTGCATATAACGAAACGCAAATATGTCAAGCTGTTTTTTTTACACAGATACACTCATAAAAAAGTTAATCACTCGAACCCAGATAATCCATTCGTGGCTGGAAATGGGACTTATATACATACAAATTGAGTCCCAGTGTAAAGCAGTCAATAGGTTTTTTAGAAAACAAAATTATAACAATTCATATTACATTATTTCAGTTACCTACTATCATAGCAGTTTAGGGTGACCACCTACTTACTATCATAACAGAGTTTAGGGCAACTAGACTTTATAGATAACACCAAATCAGCACACCCCGACTCCACAGTCTTGTCTGCTGTACCCCTAGAGTGTTTTAGTAAAGCCGTAGGCACGGAGGGAGAGCAGCCCCCGCCCGCTGTAGCAAATCGCAGGCACCTAAATGAGCCGTAGCGGATGAGACTGGTCACCGAAGGCGACCAATAAGCCGAAGCTGTGTAGGTGAGCATGAGTGCATGTGATTTGCTAGGCAAGGGCGAAGGGGCTGCACTTCCCGCAGTGCCGAAGCCGTTGCAATAGTAACTTTGCGTCAATATTCCTGTATAAAAAAATGAGGTTATGATTTTACAAAAAAAAATTATTACTCATAAACTATACATTTTCGCTACGGGGGAAGGGTAGGAGTGGCTTCCCATGACCCCCTCTCCCCTCTACCCCTCCCAATACCGTACGCGAGTACCGGATGTCTATACTTTACCCAATGCTGCTACCCATCTACTGATTTGTTTCCCTCTATTGCCTCTTACGACACCCAAGGGATGATATGGGGTAGTGGAAATTCTTACACCACAGTTACATGGTATTAATTTAATTAATCACTACACCCATGAGCTATGGACAGTTCCCCCCGTGACTTTGGGTGCTGTAAAGCACCCCAAACGTCGGGATAATAAAAATAAGTTAAAATAATAATTAAACATTAAAATAATAGTTTTATTCATTACATTGTAAATTTCATACCCTATTGTGCCACGCTTAGGGGTGCTGAGGGTATATGAACTCAGAATCATATGGGACCACCCCTGAAATATGACCTACTTAATATTGGAAAGAATCATCAAAAATGGTTTACAATTGACAAAGGTATTATTGACACACAAAAAACACTAAATTTGTAACCCTACTCCTTTTTTGGTTAAAAATAAACTTTACTCATAAACTATACTTTTTCACAAGGAGGGATGGATTGAGTAGGGTTTACGCTATTTTAGAAATTGTATTAATTTATAATTTTCAATATTAAAAAGTTCAATTCTTTCAGTATTATATTATGTTAAATTATTTATGGTTAACAATTATATACTTATAAAGTAGGGTGGACCAAAAGCTACCCCAAACACACTAACACCTACTGTAAACATATTCAAAGATTTGTGTAATATTTTAATATTATATTTATTTTTTAAAATTTAACATATTTGGATGATAAAAATAATTAAATTATATGAAAATTTTAAAAATGAGCAAAAATCAATATTTTTATTAACTAGACACTTCTTTAATAATTACAAGCTGAAGATAAAAATAGTTACTATGACATCAATGTCCAACAACTGATAGTAGTATCAAAGCATGTAAAGTATTGAAAATATAAAATTAGATTTTGTATGTAAAATTAAACACTTAAGAAATCAGATTTATTCAATGTGTGGTAGATATACCTAAACATAAAGACATTAAAATATGACAATGCAATGATGCATGTGATGGTCAAGATTATTTTTATTTCTAATCTTTATTAAACACAAGTAAGTCACTGGTGGGGAGGTCATAAGGTGTCTCACATATTTCTTTTTACTTTTCGTTGCACATTGATAATATATTTATAAATTTTAAAGTGCACAAGCACAAATATGAAAATATACATAATTAAAAATGAATGAATTTGAATCTAAATATGCATTATATTTTTAATAACACTTGTACCAGATATTTATATAAAACATACACGATTTTAAGTAACATTGAGGGTAAATAATACTTACGTTTATCCACATATCCGAAGGTTGTGCCAACAAAGAGGCACAAAAGTAATTCAAAAAACATTCTGCACTATCCGCACGAGCAGCCAACTTCGCATGCCTGCATAGAATGGACAGAATATGAAGTAAAAAAACCGAAACTATTTTAATTACTCAAGCTCACAAAAACGCTATGTCAGCAGTACTTACAAACAATGAGCTTAAAACAACATATTATTACAAACTAACAGTAGCAAACAGCTGGTACTTATTTACTTTGAAATACCAAACGAAGCTAATGAACACTTGCACGGTAACATTAACAAGTTCAACCAAGAAAAAAAGAGTATTTTGATTTGTAATTTGAATTCTATTTATGCAGCTGATCGGTTTATTTTTTTATTTATAGGCAAAGGTTGGGCAAAGGGATTAATGGCCATACATCCTTTCCTATATTTTTATTATATCATCATATCCTAGACTTGGTGTGTTTTGTCAAACTGAAAGGGAAGCTACGAAAGAAGCGCTTTGTGCCTAACAGCCAGGGCGCGACTGCCTCCGCCCATCGGTGAAATAACAAATTAGTCACCTATCAGCTAATTCTCTTCAAGGTATTTTCGTGAGCTGGCAGTTAATTACGGAGTGTTTTGCCAATTCTGACGATGTGCTTTGCTTTGCCGATGACTCTTTTGAATGATCAGGGGACAGAATTATACTTCGTTTTAAGAGTGCTGATGTTTGCATCCAGGAACATCGATGCCACAGCCCAGGTATGGTAGCACTCCTGCTGCTGCACTTATAGCGTGATGCAATTATATATGAGCGTCCTTTGGGACTTTCTCCGAAGGACCCCACAGATGATACAATAAAACGTTCCATTCCCTGAAATACCACATCATCGACGGAGTCAGCAACAACTTTGGGATCGTCTAACGAGAAACAAATCCACCCTCATGGGTAGGATGCAAAAGAGCCTGGGTACTATCCTGATCGGCTGACTTATAACGCACTCATGGTGGCAGCCTAAAAATCGCTCCTCCAATGAGCATGTGATGAGCATCGTATGTCAGATTAGGCAATGAATCAGGGGACTAATTCACAACGAGCGTGAAGCGTGCCGTTGTCATTTTGTTACGTTTGCCTCGAATATTACATCCTTCCCCACCGCCGTTTCCCACGGGCGCCTTCGAGCACGATGCTGCAGTGTCATCTGGCCATAGTTGCGGCATAGTGTAGTTGGCGTTCAACCACGTTTCATCAATGAATATGACGTCCAAATGGGTTATATTTTTCATATCTTTTAAAAATATTATTCTTTGCAAGACTATGTCATGCCTCTTCATAATTATTTTGCGTTATCAATTTTTGTATCGGAAGCCCAATGCGTTTTAAAATTGTTCTCAATGACTCTACACTACCATTGTAGAAACCCGCATCTACTAAACTTACTTGCAACTTCACCGCGGTAGGATATTCACCATTTGTGAAATAGGCGTAGACATGTTTTTAATAGCATCTGCGTCGAACTGATCGACACCTGTTAATCATTAATTTGTTCTTTTATCGTTATTTTCGGCGCGTGAAGTAAACTATTCTCACTGCTTGGCAACAGTGTGCTTGCCAATTTCGTGTGCTTCACTGATAAAAGGGGCCCACCGTTTAGAGACTCACGTTGAAAATATTCGTGTAATTTTACCACCAATGCACGAGCCTGACCTTTTAATGTACGACTACCACAACTACGTCTTCTTTTCGACATTATGATCACTTACTTAATCAGAGTCCAGTATATAACTCGCTAAGGTCAACGAATATAGAATAAAAAGCCTAAAAAGTTAAATCCGAGTCACAAAATAATAACACAAATACAAAATCACTAAAGTACGCACAGTAAGCTCCTGAAATGGCGGGAGATTGAAATTACGTAATGGTTTTTTTCGCGGCCTTGAGTTTTTGCCTACATAAATTTACGTTGGACAAAATAAGGAAAAATGAATTTAATTTATTCATAATTCATGTTATTTAAGGAATTTTAATTTAAAATTAAATTAAACAAAGAATATTTTTGTCGATTATTTGAATACACTGACCTCTATATATACAAATACGTTGGACTGGCCATTGATTTATATATTGCACTAGATTAGTAATTACCGTGCCAAAGCGTTGCCACTCCACATATGGCCACAGCCATATGTCTAATGTCAGTTCAGTGTTCAATGTGACGCCAACCGAGTTGAGCCGAACGATCCGCTATTAAAAAATGGGTAAATGCTTATTGAAAGAATGCGGGTCAAGGTCATAAAACATAATAACCACTCTAACGTCCGGGTACTTTTGTACTAGTGTTGTATATGAAAATAATCCTCAGGATGTTTTCTTTTCGTTTATTTTCAAGTTTTATAAATCCAAAGTCTGTTATGATGTTTTTATATGTGATGAAGTCGACATGCAATAACTTCGCCTTTGTGTGTCGGTCTTTCGTTAAGTTCTTGTATTGTATATTATTTATTTTAATAAAATATTCCTTATAAGTAGTAAAACAGGTTATTAACTATATTTAAATGCACTTAAGTGAAAGGAAAATAGTGAAAGTAGTAAGGATTTTACGTTTATGTATTTTGTTCCCCAGGTTTAATGTACGGGTGACTACAGCCGCCCGTAACGTTTATGATATGTGACATATTAAGGGTTCGTACAAACCATAAATTACGTGTATATTTAACATGATTTTTCGTGCTTGCTTTTTTATTTTATTTGGCACTGCACTTTTTAACATATAAATGGTTGTTGTTTCATAGGTTTATAGGTATAGTAATAAACAATATATGGCTGCTTTTTTATTTAATTTGGTACTGCACCATTATACAACATTACAGAAACTCCGGCGATAGGATCAGTATCGATCCAACTTCTTTTTTAATTTTTTGGAAAAATTTCGCTAATTAATTTGAAATAGCGTTGTATATAACAATTGTGGTTGCTGTTTATAGGTATAATTTTATGATATTTCTCTTTTCATTCAACCGTTATGGTAAAACATTAAGAAAATAATGGGTTTTAATTGGTGTGGGTGCGTTTAGGTACTTGTTTTGGCACTGCAACATTATAACATATTATTATGGGTTTTATTTTATGATATTACTCATTACATTTAACGGTTTTGGTAAAAGTTTTTAATTTATATATATATATATATATATATATATATTATTTATGCATATAACTTTAAACTAAATTTTTAAAAATAAGAAAGAAAAAATACGTGTTTCATTTACATATTTATATTTAAGAAAAATGTTTTAATTATATATATATATATTTTTTAATTATATTTTATATATACCCATGCTCAAATAATCGTGTATACGGACCTTAAAGCGGGCGGCCATCTTGTCACATTTTATAGCCGCCCGGGAGGTCATACTCTAGAACTGAGTATGTCGATATTTTAGGTATTTTTGCCTAGAAATACTTAAAATTCATATAACGTTATTGGCATTATTGGATAGGGTAGATCATGTACTTTATATATTTACATAATAATAAATTGATGCTACAATATTAACGAAGAAAATAAAAAAAATTTAGGGTTTTTCATCTAAATTTCTGGAATTAAACATTTTTTTACCTGTTGTATGTCAATTGAGTAAATTATTATTATCATAATTAAATTCTGCATTTCATTAGCTTTTTGTGGGTGACTTTTATTCTGATATATGTAAAGAACTTTCTCCGTGGTAACCGTTTTAGTCGAACTGGTCGCGATCCGACCGTATAAAAACATCAACGACCGGGGCCGGGACGTTCAAGGGTGTTGTTGCCGCGTCGCTTGGACGTTCAAGTGGATAAATCAAGAGGAATCACTTTCCACACGTAAGTTTATACCTCAAATTATTTAAATAAAGTTATCGAATATTGCGATTTAGGTTCAATGTTGCCACTTTTCCGCCTTTGTGATTATCCCACATTAATGGGATACTATATAAATAATGGAGCAAGTTAATTTGTTACCCCTGATTTTAAATATTTTGGAAATTATATAATGAAAACTACGTTTTAACTTTCATACAAAATAATTAACCATTCTTGTTTTAGTTTATTCATGATATATTTTAAATATATTTTACTACCCATTTTATATTAATAATTTTATATTAATTATAATTTTATATAAATTATATTTTATTACCTATTTTATGTTGTTTGATTTAATAGTACAATAAAAAAGTACTTAAAAATATATTTTATTTAGTCAGTTATGCTTACTTCTATTAATATAAGATCTATAAAATAAGAAAATATAGTTTTTTAAATGAAAAAATTAACTGCAGCTTAAAAAATACTCCTTTTTATTGCGTATTTTAGATAAAATTTCATATAGTAAGCCACACCAACCCGCCATTGCATGTTTGTGTGTCTATCTTTATCTAATATTAGTGGCGATATTGTTTTCGCAACTTGTGTAAGTGAGACAGATATATGTTTATTTAAAATGTTTAGTAATTTTAAAGCTACGTCGTCGCGGTTGGATAGTCGTTACACTTTCTTCGATACGCGATAATACGGTTTGCTCCTCCAGTTATCTATAACAAATGGTACTGTCTATGTCGTACAAAATATCTGTACCGATTTGAAGTGCGCCATTTGCCGTCCCGGGAACTAAAATTGACATAATATGCCAAAGTCTCTTGTCTTATTTAAATCTTATCTGTGTTTTTTGAACATTTAAACTAAAAAACGAAGGTATTTTATGTGGTTTCATTGAGTATAATTTTAGGTACATAATAAGAATTATTTTTAATAATAATGAGAGTGTGCGTATATGTAAAACTCGTTACCAAAAGGAAAGTGGTATAAAATTCCACAAATAAGTGAATTTACAGCTAATATTAAACAAATTAAAATTTAGGAATTTGTTACTAATCTTAGTATCAGAATTAGCAACATTTTTGGCTCTATATTACCGAGTTTTGATAAATAATAATGTTACGGACGGCGAGGGTGCGACCACCTATCACCCCGCATGCCTCACCCGCTTTGACACGTCTCCCGCATCCTGCATCA